AGTTCCAGAGTGAGGTTGGAAGGGTCGGGTTCAACGGTTGTTGTTTCCGTTTTTGCCTGGCGTTTGGTGGGTGGTGTTCGTCCAATGACCTCAGATGTTCAGCTCCCCCTGCTGTATGTTTCGCGCTCTCTGCTCTTTCTTTCGTTGCTCAGTCCTTTGTTCCTCGAAACAAGTCCAAATCGGTATCCACCAAAGAAGAAGAATACGTGTAACGTCGTCGAGTGTTGTCCAGCCTCTCTTTTGCAAAGAAGAAAAAATAGTCGAATTCCAGAATTCCAGTCGAAAGCGAACCGTCTCACCGAAAGGAGACCGAAGAGAGTCAGCGTGACAACGGGCGAGGAGAAACAGAGAGTGGTTGGGATCACCGGGCGTGGAGAGGGCGATTAAGGTACTTTAAAGAGACTGGCTGGGCCATGAAGGACCTCCTGCGAGCCACGACGAGGCCGGGGGGCCCACGGTAGCGCCGCCGAGAGGCTCCTCTCCTCCTACTAGGTAGGCGTTGGCTTCTCTTGGGGCGGCCTGGACTGGATTTTCTGGGCTCTAGCTGGGAAGGGCAACATGGTCCATTCCCAATTCCCCCTGGATCTGAGGTGGCGTGCAAGGGCAAACGGGAATGACTGGATCGACTGGACCTCACAGCCCACGCTTGACTGGTTTCTGCCAGCTTCTTGTTCATCTATTCGCAGGTACACGCAGGCTCCAGCACTCCGAGCTGGCTTCGGCAAGTATCCGTTACCAAACCAGGATACAGATACAGACAGATACGGGGACTCCTCTGCGCCAATAACCTGCCGAGCATTCTCACGAACGAGACGAGGAACCAAGGTCGGGCATGGCATGGTATGGCACAGCTTGGTACCTGCGTGGCCCTCACATATACGGTGCGCTAGCCATGTACCCCTTTTCCACTCCGCGGCTACGTGCGACTGCCTTGTCAGCTTGATACCGATTCCAGTCCTACCACCTCAACCGTATAGAGTACTACAGACACGCAATTCTCAACTCAATGGTCAAAAAGAGGAGCAAATCCAAGGGTACCAAGACCACATCTGCCCACCGAGCCGTCAGTCTAACCCTATTCCGATCCTATGGTTGCTAGAATGGAATCACTGCGCCTTGCACATCGACCCACGTACCGGTGTTGCTCATGCCAGTGCCAACTGATGACCCCGGCGGAGATGGCGAATGGAGCACGGAAAGCAAGTCAATGATGCAGGAACAGGAACAACCCAGGAAAGCAAAGGGACTTCGCACTTTGTGCAAGACTGAGGTGAGAGTGGGATAAAAGGAGGGGGTCATGGCCAGCGGTCAAGAAGAGGCAAGTCGCTCACGGTGAACGCAGGGATGTCACTGACGGGGGGATACGTACACAAGCACTTTATTCTGTACACACAGGGACAGGCTCTGAGGGAGTCGATCCCTGGTCGCCAATCATTGAGATCCAGTGTTGCCGTTCGCTGAGGCTGAAGGGATGGCCCCTGGCTGCTCGGCCGTGTTGATTACCATGATTTTCATTCGCTTCCCTCGTCTCTCGACAATCCGATACCTTAATTGTTCTTCCGGGGGGCCATTCATCGTCGAGTCTTTATCTTGGGACGGGTGGAATGCTGAGGGATAATATGCTCTCTCCTTCATCGTCAAATCTCATGCCGCAAATGGTCTCACCCTACGCCTCGGTCATCCCAAAATCAGGGACTTGGGGTCCTCAGGGTCTACGGGTCAGCGGGAACAAGGTGTGCTCGCTGCACAACTGCAGACTCTGTTGAAAGTTCATGGCTCAGTAACTCAGGACACCGCTGCAACTGGCCATTGCAGGTCCCTTGGCTTCTCCTGGGCGATTCCGCCGAGCCATCGTTCCTGGGCAAACACGCAGTCTGAATGGTCGAGTGTTTCCAGGCTTTTCGCCATCTTCCTGACCCCTGAGTGATTTGACTGGTCAAAATCACTTCTTGGGCTTGCCAGTGTGGCAGCGTTGCTGACTGGACTGCGTCTCTCAGAGGGCTTGACAGCCAGCCAAGGGGCCCTCATCCAGGGGCGAACAGACAAAGCCTAGGAAACGACAGGGGAAGAGACCGGACGAACAAGGATGCGGGCTCGGGTGAACACTCGCCCTCGACCTATCGGCTAGTGCCAGCTGGACCAGTTCGCGCAAGATGCCAAGCACAACAACCAATCCTTCTCATTAACAGCTGCTGATTTGCTGCTTCTCTCTCATGGGTCCGACTGAACCTGAACTCAACATGTCTCCTCAGCTTCGCAGATGGCACAAAGCTGTAGGGATTCTCGACTTGCACAGAAAATCCACTAAAGTGACCGAACACGACGGGGTTTTGGGGTCTCTTCTGGGCCTCTCATCCACCGTCCAACAAGGCCTCCTCTGCCCAGCCGCCAAGGAACACGTTGAGATGAACGAAAAGAAATTCCAATCAGTGGCTGGGCCACCGACTTTTCAACCCAAAAGATCCCGTGGTTCCCTTCGTGGTCTCGTCTTGGTGACCCCATGAGCCGACCGTTGGAAACGACTCGTCTAGCCGACCAGTGTCTCCAAGGCCAGAGACAATATTGATCATGTACTCATCCGTTAGGATTCCCGTTGGTGCCCATCAGCTATCCGCATCTTCGGGTCCTGTTTGGCGCCAGGCTTGATCTGGTTCACTGAGTTGAGATCCAAGCCGAGACCAAAGGCGTTCGGTCCAGCGCCACGAGGTCACCAACACAGGCTACTCTCGATTCTGCGTACTAGTGTATCAGAAGGCATCCGGATTCCGATGTGGTGTGGAACGGTGACACAGACATTGTCCAGAAACGGGGCCATAAGATGCGCAGCTATCGTCGTATCCATTTAGGACCCAACCATTTTCCTCCCTTCCGGAATTCTGGAAGAGACGGCAACTGACGCTTGGGTGATGACGAACTGATGGGTGTCCAAAGGAGGAGGGAATTCCCAAAAGAAGTTCGAAAGCCAGACCCACCATCCACTCATTGCTCAAGCTGTCTGAGCATGTGAATCAGCCCTCGTCAAAGTCATTAATCCACGTCTCAGGCATAATGCTATGCCGTCCCTCTCGGCCGATTCTGCCGTGGCATTCACCTGACGTTCCGTGATACCGCTCCGGAGGTTGCCGTGCTCTCAACTCATCAACCAAACTATCAAGCAATCTTCTTCCTTTTGCCACGACGGACATCAACGGTATCCCTATCTCGTCTCCCCTGCTAGTTGCAACTTGCAACTTGCAGCCGAGTGATCGTAATCGAACGTTAGTCGGATCTCCAGCACTACTAGAACCATCCAGTCGGCTGTTGGACAGATGTTATCTGCCCCTCAATAAAATTTAGACTCGTACGCTTGTCAATGAGGATTCCTGTCACGGCTGCAGCTCGCGGAGTCTGTGTGGTCTGTCAGGAGTCAAAGCTCGGTGTGATCTTGATAGCAATCAACACTTTCGGCATAGGGCACCCCGGCCTTCGCATGGCCCCCGAACAGCAACCAAGCAAAAAAGCCAAGATACATAGTAGAGTGTATTCACAATGGACTCCATCGGTTACGGAGCGACGAACCGACTGGGTAAACCATCCCACGTTCTCGTCTCCTTCAAACCACCAGCGAATTTTCTTCAATCGCGCCTTGGGACCTCGCAATTCTCGTCCAGCCGCATACAAATTGCGGGATGTGACGGCGTAGCCGTGCCCGCCGGGGTTCCAGCTCAGTTCAGCGGGGAGTCCCTGCTAAGCGTCGTTGCAAACAAATTAACACACCCGAACATCCTGGCACTTGGCCTCGGAGCCAGATTCCGTATAGAGGCGTCTTCCCTCCTTCCAGGGCCAGGCTCCCAGGTTCAACGTCCACCATGGGTACTTGGCATCCTCGCAACCGCCTGGCCGGGTCGACCAGATGGGCCTCAGTGTCTAGAGGGGCCGAGGGGATTCTGCGAGGGAGGCAAGCCGCCCGCTACAAGGCGCCAGCAACCTGCCAACATGCCTGGGAGGTCTGGGAGGAGGCCTGGAAGACTGCAGACGTGCGGTGGGTGAAGAGGGGATGCCCCCATGAAGTCATTTGCTTGTTCGGTGACCTATCGTTTCAACGATATTGCAGGCCCCGTCCGCTTCAGGTGAGCGTTGGCATGCATTAGCACACAAACGCGTGCAGATGAAGCCGAGATATTCGGACGGTTCGTGAGATTTGTCCAAATTTCCTCATTTTCACTCGTCAATTTAGTCTCTATCTGTATTCGTACGCAGATGCTTCTCTTTCGCAACTAGCCCCTCATCACGATAGGTATCTTCTCCTTCCTTTTTCCCTTGCCGCCCTCTTGGCGCCGGGGCATGCACATTTCCACATCCATCCTGGGCTCAGTGACAACCCAACGCAGAGGGAGTTCGTGGGCGCTTCTGCTCCGTACGTCTCATGGATCTGACCGAGATAGCCGTTCTATCTCAATCTTGATGAACCAGAAAGCGAACTTGGATACCCCCATCTGCCAACTCCGCCTATCTGTTGACTGCGATCCTTGAAACAAGATGGGATGATGAAATACCTGGCCCAAGGGCCGCGCGTGGTAGGAGCGCGGGGGTCACTGTGGATGCGACCGGCCAGAGGTTAGGGAGATAGTGCTCGCCTCCAAAAGCTTCCAGAACAATGTTCAGAATCTGCGTATTGTGGGTAAGGCGGTTTGGAATATGAACAATGAGGAATCGGCACCAGCCCGCAACAGCTGCCCGAAATCTCAAGCCATCTTTCTGGCTTGTGGCCCGAAATCCCGCTTGCCGTCTGTCCATGTCTTATGTAAGCACACCACGTCAAGGGATCCAGCAGGACGACATAATCCCTAGTGGTCCGTGTCTGGTTGATGACTAAGGTCGCGGAGCATGATGGCTGTCACGTGCACCTTCGCCGGCCCATCGGAGCTTGCAGCTTGACGACCGTCTGTCACGGTCCGGAAAATTCCATACCATCACGGCCAAACATTCAAATCACCTCTCCAGCCATTGAGGCCGCAATCATGGGTGCCAGCGAGTCAAAGCCGTCCTCCAGCACGCCTCCACACTTGTGGAAGGCGTAAGTTCATTCCAATTGCCCCTCTTTCACAGAATCCGTCGGCTGATCCAAGATTCGCGCAGCAGCTCGCCCAGCGGCATCTCCCACGACCTCGTCGAGTCCCTGCAGACCAGCCATGAGGTAAATACTGCCTCCTCTATGTAAACCGGAACACCTCCGATGAAAAGCTCTACATCAAATTCCCAACCGGAGCCTAGTCCTCCGTCTCGACCTTTTCCATCTGTCCTTCATCCCTCCCCCCCTTGGCGCATCTATTCCCTCAATAAGCCAAAGATCCGATAGCTAACCTCTCGCCTTAAAACAACACAGACTGATGCATCCCGCACGCAACTCACCGAGATCCAAATTCAGCGCCGCGTCGCCGAGGAGCTGAAGCGCCTGCAGGCCAAGGAGTCAGAGGCCCTCCGCCTCGCCCACGACAAGATCGCTACCGAGGACAAGCCCGCGCCCGAGGGCCAGCGCAGCCACGAGAGCGTCAAGAAGGAGGTTGAGGCCCTGCGCGCAAAGCTCGCCGAGCGCAAAAAGGTGCGCGATTTGCCCGAGGCGGTTGAGACGGCGCGCGGCAACGTCGTGCGGTGTCTGCGGGATAATGACCGCCGGCCGCTCGATTGCTGGCAGGAGGTCGAGGCTTTCAAGGAGGAGGTGAAGCGGTTAGAGAAGGGGTGGGTTGAGAAGATTGTCTCGTGAGTTGAATGAGGGGAGATGGGGATTGTTGAGGCCCTCTCTGGGTCTGCCTTTGTAAACAGTCGGAGACCGTTGGGAGAGGACGGTTTCCTTATTTGCGTTTTTTTGTGAGCCACTGAGGGGGTTTGAGAGATACGCTGGATCAAGAAGAGACGAAACAGGGCAGTAGGACGTGAAAGTGTAACAACATGCTACTGGCGGGCAAATGATACAAGAGAGGAAAAAGTGTCTAGATGGCGAATGAATCTTGGTTCACATCACAAGCTCCCCCCTCAACGGAAGTCTTGATTTTTGTTTATTCTTCATATCTCAGCCAGCAGCTCTATCGGGCCTTGGTCCTCTGACGGAGCTTCCTGCTGCTGCATCTTCAACCTAGCAGCCAATACCTCCTCCTTCCGCCGCAGGCCCTCAGCCCTCTTCCTCTCCCTCCTGGCGTCGGCGTCCTCCCACGCGGCGCCGCCCTCGCCCATCTTTGGCGGGGGTCCGGCGACGGCCTCCTGCAAGGCGGTGCGGAACCGCGCGATGCGGGCGGCGTTTTCTACGAAGCGCTCGTTGGCGATGTGGAGCAGGTCGCGGAGGTAGTCTGGCGTGACGGTGCAGTGCCGACGTGCGCTGCTGCCTTCGGCGGCGTCTTCATCAACGTAACCGATTAGAGATTCAAGAGCGAGACCCATTGTTCTTACGCCTACCATTGGTGTCACGGGTGATGACGACAAGGCTTCGTCTTCGCCTTGCGATGCGGTGGGGAGGAGGTTCAGGGCGCCGCTTTCGCGGAAACCTGCTGCGAGGGCGCATTTGAGGAGGAGCTGGGCGTGAGATAGAGATGCTGTGAGGACGTGGAGGATCTATGCAGGGGAGATGTATGTCAGTCGTGTGAGTCTTGTTGCTGCGCAGGCTACGTGTGAAAGGAGGGGTGTGTCTCTGGGGTGACATTGCCTCGGCAGGAGAGGCTAGTGAGGCAAGGTGAGAGTATATGTGTGTGTAAATGAAATCATGCATGAGAGAAAACGGGGGATGGTCTTGCATACCATGGGCTCGAACTTGAAGTGAACAAGCCGCTTCCGTCGCCCAGACTGAGAACGACCCGATACTCCGACAGCCCGTCCTGGTTCTTGCCCTGCTCCTCTTCCCGCGTCTTCATCCACGAGACCAAACAAGCGCAGCAGATCCTCGTCGTTGTCGTGCGATCCGGGAACGGGATCGTGCGATACGAACAGCCACGTGCCTCCGCCTCCCTTTCCTCCGGGTCCAGCTATCGTCTCGAGGGCCGCGGCGGCAGGGGTATCATCGCCTTCGTTGCCTTGAGAAGATGATGGGGCTACTGCCGCTACTGCTGCTCGCTGGTCCGCTCCTCCCGCCTTACGCCCCTCGAGAAACACGCTGACGCGCCCCGCGCAGCTGCTCGTCGTGACGAAACCGTCGAGGGCGTTGAGCTCGTCAATGAGCTCGCGGATACCGACGTCCACGGACCCCTTGGGCGAGGCGTCGGTGTACTCTGCATCGGGCACGCTGAGCTGTTCCAGGATCTTGTGTTTGCGGGTGGTGAAGGTTGCCGGTGGGACGGGCAGGTGTTGGTGTCCTTGGTTCTTCTGCTGCGGTGCCATGGTGCTCTTCCTCTTGTGACCCTTGGGCAAGTTGGGCTTGGTAAACTACCTATGCGACTTGGGCTTGGATCATATCTTGTGGTGGGGGTTCCTTCGACGGAGAGGGGAGTGCCTTTCACTCGACCCGGTGGAACAAATCCTTGCTGGCCTCGGGTGGTTCTCTTCTGCAGCTTGACTGATTCGGTCGCTGTGAGATGGAAGAATACGGGGAAGTCGGGCGTGTGTTGGGCGTTGAGCTAGTTGTTTTCCTCGACGCTGGGCTGCGTGTAAGTGAAGTCTGCCCGCAGGTTAGACTCATGTGAGATGAAAAAGTGTGCAGTCGTGAGTGCTGTGAGGTACCTCAGCCGTGTGAGTTTGGGACTCTATACACAGTGCGTCTTCGGGACGGGAGCCGGCGAACCCAAGCTTGTTGTATATTACCCTACCCTCCGATGCTACCTTGAAGAAATAGTGAACCAGAGAAAATTCTTATTAAATCAGGTTATCTGGTGCATGTGGTGTTGTGTTTTTAATATATAATCTAACTTGACCGCCGCCACGTCGGTGATCGTTATGCCTAGCTTTGCGTGTATATGCTCATTCATTCGCTCGAAGACGCCGGTATCTTGGATGCCCAGAGTCTATGGTATACTGCTCATCGTATGATTGTCACTTCTTGTTTCCTGATTGCGTGCCTGGACCAATACAGGGAAGAGCTCGGGAGAGTCCGAGCATGCGGTTCACTCATTTGGGTCACATCCAGGTAAAATGACTTGGAAATCGCTCATGTCCGTTGTGTCAGCTGATCTCGATGATACTTGCAAGGGCTCTCTATTACCCTGGTACCATGTAGCGGGCAAATAATCACTATCCTACGCTCCGTTGTGACAAACGTCGTATATAATAGACAGAGAGGATGACAAGATGGTTAGAAATATCGTGGTGCTTCCAACCTACGAGCAATGCATATTGCCTGAATACCCGTCGATACCTTGCTTGTGTCCTTGTATCTTATCCTTGGCTTGATCACTGATGGCGGTTGTGTTGAATATTCATGACGCATAGTGATTGGATGGTAATGAAATCACATCAATATTCGTGATGACAAAAATGATCTGGCCATGAACGCAAGGGCGCTTCAAACTTTCTGAAGGTGTCACATTTCTAAACATCACAGTTGGAGAAACTCTTAGTCAAGCAAAGAAAGACAACGCAGCTTGCTTATATATTATGAGACATGCCTTTTGCCTGGGTGACCTTTACTACACATCATTCAAGTTATCCCATCCATTATTCATTTTCGATGAGCAGAACGTAGTAGATTATATTGAAGCTCAATGAGCCTCATATTGGACTACTCTTTCGTGTGAGCGAATACTCTATCATGGGCTTGAATCATGGTTCTTGCACGGGTCCCAACGGGTACACCAAGAGCTGCTTGCGACTCAGCTTCATGATCTTTTAGTTGCCTCGATCTGAGCTGGCCAATCAGCTCCAGGCGCTCCAAGACTGCCTTACAATATGATCAAGCGTGCATGGTATCAGATGATATTCTCAGTTTTCTGAAGGACCATATGATTGCAGCAGTGTTATATGAGTAATCCATCGTTGTGGATTTGGGAAGGTGGTCACGAGATGTCACCTGAACCAATCTAGCTGTCAAAATTAAGCTTTGCAGATGACATGTCAGTGGGCTATCTTTGCCACACCAAATTTCACTTGGATTGTGTTATGATCTTAGGATACGCCGTCAGTGGTTTCCACTAATCCTCCGAATGCGGGGTCCCTGTGGGACACAGAGATTAGAGCCTCACCACGTCTCTTTCCTCACTTCACGTCTCACTTAATTAAGATCATCAAGTTTTTATTGATCGATTGATTGATTCATAATGTCTTTTGCTTATGCTATCTACGAAGTAGAATCGAGTATCCGCTGAATGCGAGATACCACCTGGCCCTTGGCCTGGATTCATCCGGAACGCCTGCATGCTGTCCCCTACCGTCCCTTGATTTTTGTTTCCTCCCTGAACGCCGTCATGCATCATGTATATACAGGTCATTAATAAAAGAAAGCAAGTCCCAAATCGCACCAGAGCCAAAACAACGCTTCTAGATCGATGCGATGGCCTGCTCCTCCTTCTCCGCCTTGACGATGGGCGCGATGGCCGCCTCGCCCTGCTTGGCCGCCTCGGCCGACGACGCGGGGGCGGCGCCCTTGGCCTCGACGGCCTTGCGCTCCATCTCCTCGAGGTACTGCGCGTAGCGCGACTTCTTGTTGTGGATACCGCACTCGGTCTTCTGCTGGCCCTTCCAGCGGCCGGCGCGCTCGTCCTCGCCCTCCTTGACGGGGACGGTGGAGTGCCAGTCGCCGACGGACTTGTAGCCCTGGTCGAGGAGGTCGTTGTAGGGGACGTTGTGGGTCTTGATGTACTCCTGCACCTGCTTGAAGGACCAGCTGGCCATGGGGTTGATCTTGATGACGCCGCGCTCGTCGTCGACCTCGATGATGGGCATCTTGTCGCGGGCGCCGCCCTGGGAGCGGCGGCGGCCGGTAAGGATGGCGGCGACGCCGAGCTCCTGGTAGGCGCGCTGGAGGGGCTCAACCTTGGCGATCCAGTCGTACATCTCGGCCTCGGTCTCCCAGAGCTTGGGACCGTACATAGCCTCGAACTCCTCGGTGGAGGCGACGCCGTAGGGCTTGAAGATGTGGAGGGCGACGTTGGGGTAGCGCTCCTGGATGCGGTCGACGAGGGTGTGGGTCTCCTTGAAGTGGTAGAGGGTGTCGAGGAAGATGAGGTCGACGTTGGCGGCGGAGGGGTTCTCCTTTTGGATCTTGGAGAGCATGTCGAGGGTGACGAGGCCGGTGAGGCCAAAGGCCGTCGACTGGAAAAGGTTGGGGAACATGATCTTTGAGAAGCGAAGGATGTCGAGGGGGTGCATGTTCTCGAGCTGGTCGTTGAGGTGCTTGAGGTGGGGTTGGGTGAGGGAGATCAAGGGGAGCGCGGGGATGGACGACGATGTCGATGAGGCATCGGTGGCGGAACCATATCCGGACTCGACTTCGACACGATCAAGCTTTGCCGCATCGGCGGCGTTCAACCGAGGAGACGACTCGACGGAGGACGTCTGCGTCGTGGGCTCAGCAACGGCAGCCATTGTGTGAGGTTTGTGTATGAGTTGAGGGAGGAGGAGTTTGATGTGTGGTTGCGAGGCACCACGAGTATATGACGAGTAGTGGTTGCAAGAGTGTATGGGTGTTGAAAACCCGGGGTATAATTCACTCGACAAGGCTTTGATCAAGAGACAAGATGGATTAAAGGCAAATGACGCAAGATGCTGAAGCTGGGGAAAGTGAGTTCAGATGCTCGGATCAGAGAAGAGGAAGAAGGCAGTAGTTGATTTATGAGGACAAGAGGCACT